TGATATATATATATATAATATCAGGTCGCAAAATTTCACTTGAAAAGCATGCAGTAGCTGAATAGGAAACAGATGGTGGTGAAGAAAGTTCCAAGGTTGAGGTTCAGGTAAGAACCGGCTGTGGCATGTAATCCCTCTTTTATAATTTGCTCGATTTTCTTCAATTCAATTTCCTGTCCTGAAGACAAGGGCATGCGTTTGTTGAGACAGATGTTCAGAGTTCTTGTTCCCTCGTTCTTCAGGCATTCTCCCGGGATAAAAAAGAAAAACACAAATATCATAGAACCTATCAGATGCACAATATCCGTTAACTTAGCATAAAGAAACGAAATACCATTTGAATATAGATTATGAAAGGTTACCAACAATGAACAATAATTAAGCAAAATTGTTATTATTAAAGGAACTGAATATATTTCGTTTAAAAAATTCTGGATATTTCTTAATTTCATATATTCCAAAGATATCATTTTGAATTCGTTAGGAAACTGCATTCGTTGTAGATTAGAATTGAGACACTTGCAAATGCTAGTAAGGCGAGCTTCGAGGAAAATATAAATCAGAACAATATTCACCAACATCCCACAATCAAATATCAGCATAGAATATAAGATTGCTCTCCATTTGTTCATAAGTGGGTCCATATATATATGAATTGAGAATACAAAAGAGGTATTAAATATATATAAATAAAATATTATCGAATAATACTTTTCTATAATTGATAAACTATGAGTATGCAAGTTGCTAATAAGTTTATGAATAACGGACTTTAATTTGGTTTGGAAAAAGTAGAAATAGATTATATTAAACAAACGGCAACAAGCTATGCCCTGCTTGAATATTATGATGGTATTCCAATTACCCTCAGTCTCAAGCAGGATCCAGAGTGGGATGCAGAGAGCACATGCAGTGACCTTGATCCAGAACCAAAGATGATGGTAGAATGACGGCGCTCCCAGGTGTAGACATCCTGTCAATTTTGTGAATAGACGTAGATATCCAGGAAACACGTGGATATGCATCGTAGATTCAGTAAATGGGATTTGGCCAAAGGACTTCTCTCCTCCACTGTCAGTCCATCACCACGGTGGAAAAGGTCCATCTTACTCTACTGAAGGTAGTCGACAATATGGTCGATTCTAATTTCCGCTGTGTTTGTAAAGTGCGCGTGTTTGATCGTATAATAATCTCCTTTTACTAAAATGAAACAAACATATCGTGCTTCAATCTATCTGTTTGTAATCAGCAAAAGTAATTCCTTTATAGCTGTAGTGCTTCTTCAAAGCAACAATTCATCTAATTTAATAAATACACTCGAAAATATCACGGTAATTATAAATAGATAAGAATTTTGGTTTTTGGATATAAATATATTGAAAAATATTTATAACCCATATGTGATACAGTGGTACCTCGACATACGAGTTTAATTCGTTCCGCAACCTTGCTCGTATCTTGAATTACTCGTATCTCGAAGCAAATTTCCCCATACAAAACAATTGAACTACCATTAATCCGTTCCAACCTCCAAAATGTCACCCCAGTTATTTTTGTTACGTGGTTTTAAATAATAAAAACGTATTTATAAATATCAAATATTCATTGCACAAAACAAAAAAGAGAATGTAAAGAAATAAATTAGATATCCTCACTGGTCTTTGCCTTTTTCGCTACATTTTTCTCGCTTTCACCTGTAGGCCGTTTAGAAAAAAACATGTCCAAGGAGGTTTGTCATCACAAATGATGGTCTGCGTCAAGGAATCTCCTTGGAGCTGCTTTTCTGTCACCCACACCATCAGCAGTTTCTCCATATTTTCATGAAGGGAGGTTCGCAGCTTGGAAATTATCGTAAGGCCCTTACCCGGCGTTACACTCTTTATCGACTCCTTCCGTTTAAGCACAGAACATATCATGGACGTACTAAGGCCATACTGCCGCGACAAGTCAACAACTCGAACACCTTGCTCATGTTTTTATATAATTTCACGTTTTAATTCAATACTCATCATCTTTTTCTTAGCACTTGACTTTTTACAAACTTTCTTCCTATCCATGGTTATAAAAATAAATGAACTAAAACTGTAAATGTAAACGCAACACAAAACGCGAACACAAAACACAACTTATCACAGCGGAAGCACGCTGCTAACTGATCGTGATGGCGCGACTGCGTGTTACTACCTGTTGTGTTTTAACTTTAAAAGCACACAAAAATATAATAAACTTGAATTTGTTTATTCAAGTCTCAAAAAACAAAGCTTTGCATATAGAACAAATAATAATGAAGAAGAAGGAAGAAACATTTTAGGAAAAGCAAAAACAAAACAAAAGTACTGGTCAAAAAGAAACATTTAAAAGCACAGATTAATATCTTCAACACTACCGAACCGAACTCGTATCTCGAATTTCGCTCGTAACTAAAAGCAAAAAATCACTTGCTCGTCGGCTCGTATCTCGAAAAACTCGTATGTTGGGGCGCTCGTATGTCGAGGTACCACTGTATATATATCTTTATAAGCAGCTGTTTGTGATCAATTCAGATTTTTAGTAGATAGTAGGTATTAATTAGTAATTCACCACAAAATATTTAGAGGTATTAGAATTCTATAAAATTTTTAATTAAGAACATTTTTTCTGTGGTTTAAGAAAGTGGAAACAGTAATATATCTATATATAGAATATCATTTTTTGTTATTTCATTACTGGATGTTGATGACCTTATTGATAAACTCCCTATGTCGATCTAAATCTGTCTATCTTTTTTTATTCTTCCAAGGTCAATCCTGTGATTTGTAAGAATATGGTCGGTCCATCTACTCTCAGTACTCTTCTCTCCCTCTCTTTTTTCTGTCTATAGAACCTTGAATCATGGCCTTCGTCAAGTATTCGTCATTGCTTCTGAATCAAATCTGAATCCAATAATTGAAGCCTGGATGTTCTACACTAGTATTTTCTTTTATCTCAGTTCATCTAATATAGTCGCGTTGGTTTTCTTTGATGTCCTCGAGATTCCTAGCATCCTCTTTGTCTACAGAACACTTCAATGGCATTAATTTATCCTTCGTAGCTTTGTTAAGATTCAAATATTCGGTATTATACGAGAGATATGCACTTCTACAGATAACTATGAGATATACCAGTCTATTCACAAGTCAACTTTTGTTAGCATTGGATAGGTTTTGTTTGCTTGTTTTTTTTTTTCAGATATATGTTCATTTTCTTATCGACGATCTTATTAATGCTTAGCTTTTATTTGCCCGTTGGTATCGATAATATTGGCCTAATCAAAGGAAGCTTATATGGCGATTATTTTTATTCCCTAAAAGGCTACATTTACCTATCTACTTCCATAGAAACATGTCTTAGAATTTCTAAAAATAAATATAAAACAGGTATATATAAAATCTCCATTTTCAAATAAAGGGGGCATTAAGCCTACCAACTTCTGTTATTTATAGCTCCAAAAAAAGTGATAAATCATTTGCTAATTAGCCAGTTTACTGCCTCCCTTTTTTTCTTAAAAGATTTTTTACGCTGATGTGAGGAAATGTGTATTCTTTAGTGTGTGAGATGCGTTATATATTATAGGCTTGTTTTTTCAGTGTGATTAAGTTTGTTTTCTGGGTGTTATGTGTGTTGTTTATTGTTTGTGTTTTCAGTGTGATTATGTTTGCGGGGTGTTATATGTGTTGTTTATTGTTTATGTTTTCAGTGTGATTATGTTTGTTTTCTGGGTATTATGTGCGTTGTTTATTGTTTGTTTTCAGTGTGATTATGTTTGTTTTCTGGGTATTATGTGCGTTGTTTATTGTTTATGTTTTCAGTGTGATTATGTTTGTTTGCTGGGTGTTATGTGCGTTGTTTATTGTTTGTGTTTTCAGTGTGATTATGTTTTCTGGGTGTTATGTGCATTGTTTATTGTTTGTGTATTCATTGTGATTATGTTTTCTTGGTGTTATGTGAATTGTTTATTGTTTATGTTTTCAGTGTGATTATGTTTGTTTTATGGGTGTTATGCGCGTTGTTTATTGTTTGTGTTTTCAATGTGATTATGTTTTCTGGGTGTTATGTGCATTGTTTATTGTTTGTGTTTTCAGTGCGCTTTGGTTTTCTTGGTGTTATGTGAATTGTTTATTGTTTATGTTTTCAGTGTGAATATTTTTGTTTTCTGAGGGTTATGTGAGTTGTTTATTGTTTGTGTTTTCAGTGTGATTATGCTTTCTGGGTGTTATGTGCGTTGTTTATTGTTTGTTTCAGTGTGATTATTTTGTTTTCTGGGTGTTATGTGCGTTGTTTATTGTTTGTGTTTTCAGTGTGATTATTTTGTTTTCTGGGTGTTATGTGCGTTGTTTATTGTGTGTGCTTTTAATGTGATAGTGTTTTTAATCCTTGCTTTTTCTGTTATTTGCGTTGTTTATTGTGTGTATGTTTATTTTTTGCTGTATTTTATATGAGTTAATTATTTTGTTAATGTTTTCAGTATGAGAGAGAGAGATTATGTTTGTTTTGCTGTATGGTATGTTAGTATATTAGTGTGTGTGTGTATTTTCACTTTTATTCTGTTTGTTTGGCTGTATTTTATTTGCGTTGTATGTTTTAAGTGTAATAATTTATATTTTACTGTACTACGGTACTACTGTCTGTTTTGTTATACTTGTAATATGAGCTTTTTTATGTATTGTTTGCATGTTTTCAGCGTGATTCTGTTTTTTTTTCTTTTGTTGTGCGTTATATGTGTATTTTATTTTGCTTTGCTTTATGTTGTTGTTTATTGTTTTTATCTTTTAAACATAATTGTGTTTGTTTTGTTGTGGTTTATGTGAGTTGTTTATTGTATTTTTTTTTAGTGTAATTATATTTGTTTCGGTGTGTTTTATATGTTATTAATATGTATTTGGTTAACCCAGGCTCCAGTACTTAATTCGCCCACTACCCAGTGTGTTTTATATAGCTTGATTTTATAGTGTGTTGGGTGTGAATATGTTGTTTCATGTAAAGTGTTCAGGTTTAAATCGTTACTTTTATAAATCCGATCATCCAAGTTAAGCAATGCCGGGTCTGGTCAGTACTTGGGCGGGTGACCACTTGGGAGCACCCTGTGTTGTAGACTCTACCTACTTTTATAAATTAATTAATCAAAAAACGTTTCCTATTGTGTTATCATGTTTTATTGTACCTTCTAAATGTGTTCTCGCACCGCTGATATCCCCAGACTATCTGTTCTACCCCGCTTGTCTTTTCGTCAGATGACACCTTCCTTGTGCATTACCGACATCATCTTGGCTCTTGTGAAGAGTAAGCCAGATATCACATTGCCCCTTCCTCAATTCCTGTTTGTGAACAAACAGGACTCCATTTTTATCATTCGGTGGTCATTATAAAAATAAAGGTCTCCTCTTCTGGCAAAATAGACACTAAAACTAAACGCCGCCTATTGACCGTCTCCGCAAACTAGCGGACTCCGGTCGGTAACAAAGTAACGACACCAGCTTTGGAAAACTGAGAAGCATCCACCTAGAGACTATGGTTTTGGGCTGATGGTCCTCGTCAATCCAGGGCGGACTTTATTTCATGAAATCCACAAGGAATCAAATGAAATATTCAAAATCCGCCAAAGAGGTGTTTAGATGGTAGAGTGGCTATGGCCAAAATATAGATGGAAATTTTGTCGGTAAGAAATTGATCCATAAAAATGAAGGTTGCCTCTCGCTAGACGCTAAAACTAAGCCCTATCTATATTTTGGCCATAGATTTGGCCTAGCCACTCTACAATCTAAACATCTCTTTGGCGGATTGTGAAGATTTCATTTGATTCCTTGTGGATCTCTCTCTCTCTCTCTCATGGAATAAAGTCCGCCTTAGACTGACGAGCTCCATTATACCGATACCAGTTAGCCAAAGCTGGTGTCGTGGCTTTGTCACCCACCTGAGTCTGCGGAGATGGCGCCTACTTTTAGCATCTATTTTTCCGGGAGAAGCGACTTTTATTTTAATGGATTAATATCCTCCCGGAAAAATTCTCCATCTATATCTTCATTATATATTTTGATAATTGACCACAATAATTTCTCGCATTCTCAATATTTACATTAAACCAAAACTTTATATACATCATTGTTTTTCTTTTATTTATTATTTTTCTTTATATTCTTTTTCAAATTGTTATATCATTTCTCATATTTTTACATCCAACTTTCAGAATTAATTTTCTTACAATCATTTGCAATCTATCACTGATTTTAACGTATAAATAATACTTAAACGAATTACTACCAATATGTAAATGAATAGTTATCAACTTATGTAAATATTGAATATATATTTTCTTTAATTTCCTTGGTTCTTCTTTGTTTAAATATGCATTCCTTATTGACTTATTTTGTTGTTGTCGAAAACTAGAAAGATTTATATTGCCACGTGGAAAATTAGAGAAGACCAACTTCGGGATGAGACAACAATTTATTTCAGGCAAGGACAAACTATGAGTGATAAACAAAAGATAAATAAAATAGGGAAGTGTACAGAGTAGCAAAATATAAACATAAAAAAATAAAACTCTGCTAATAAAATAATAAATACTTTGTTACAATATTAACAAGATTATCTTCATTTGTTTCTCATTTTTATAAATATTCCAGGTTTTCGATGATTTATAGAAATAATTGTATTCAGCAATTTTTCAAAATAAAGTCACAACTACACCATAAATCAAATTCGATTTATTTTTAACCCTTTCAAAAATAAATTCAAATCTATATTCTTAGCAATTTATTATATCTTTAAAACCCTGTTCGAAAATAAAAATTCACTTATATAATATAATAGACTTGATAGAGTTTTGCCATTTTTCACTTGAAAAGCATGCAGTAACTGATTAGAAAACAGATGGTAGTAAAAAATGTTCCCAGGTTGAGGTTCAGGTAGGAACCGGCTGTGGCATGTAATCCCTCTTTTATAATTTGCTCGATTTTCTTCAATTCAATTGCCTGTCCTGAAGACAAGGGCATGCGTTTGTTAAGACAGATGTTCAGAGTTCTTGTGCCCTCATTCTTCAAGCATTCTCCCGGGATAAAAAGGAAAAAAGCATATATTAGAGAAGCCACTAAATGCAAAATCTCTGGAATCTTATCTTTAATATTGAAAACACTATTTGAAAAAAGGTTATGAAAAGCAAACATTAATAAAAAATAATTAAGTAAAATTAGTATCATTAAAGGCACTGAATATATATCATTTAATAAATTCTGGATATATCTCAAATTCAGATATTTCATGGATATTACTTTGAATTCGTTTAAAGACTGCATACTGTGTAGTCTGTAATTAAGATCCTTGCAGATGCTGGTTAGGCGAGCTTGGAGAAAAATATAAATCAGGACAATATTCACCACCATCCCGCCATCGAGAATCAACATACAATATAAAATTAACCTCCATTTGTTTAGAAACGGATCCTTGAATATAAGAAGTAAGACCATTAGAAGAGTATAGAATAGATACAAATAGAATATTCCGGAATAATATTTTTCTAATATGGATATCTTATAAGAAATCAAGTTATTCATAAGTGTATTAATAACAGATTTCAATTTGGATTGTAAAAAGTGAAAATAGATTATCGTGAACAATCTGCAGCATGCTATAACCTCCTTAAATATAATGATGGTATTCCAGTTACCCTCAGTCTCAAGCAGGATCCAGAGTGGGATGCAGAGAGCACATGCAGTGACCTTGATCCAGAACCAGAGATGATGGTAGAATGACGGCGCTCCCAGGTGTAGACATCCTGTCAATTTTGTGAATAGACGTAGATATCCAGGAAACACGTGGATGGGCATCGTAGAATCAGTAGTTATAGATATGGCCAAAGGTCTTCTTTCCTTCACTGCCAGTCCATCACCACGGTCGAAAAGGTTCATCTTACTCTGCTGAAGGTAGTCAACAATATGGTCGATTCTAATTTCCGCTGTGTTTGTAAAGTGCGCGTGTTTGATCGTATAATAATCTCCTTTTACTGAAATGAAACAAACATCGTGCTACAATCTATAATTTTGTTTTCAGAAAAAGTAGGTCACTTAGCTGCAATGTTTCTTCAAGAGAATTATAACCCATTTAAATTTCTGATAGTATTTAAAGAAATATCACAGTTATTATTTTTTCAAAATTATAATTTGGCTTTGTATATAAATATTGAAATTATATATGTTATATGTTACGCTGTGTTTATTACAACGTGTCATTATAATAATTTATTTTGATGATAAAATGAAATGGAATTCGAAACAATTGTAGCGACAGAGAGTGATAGGTAATAACTACTAATTCACTATGTTTGGCACCAGTACATATTTTCCTTATTTTCAATTAGAATTCCATCAATCGATAAATTGGTATTATATATTCCGAAGCGCTTTAGTAAGATTTGAAGATTTATTGATATAAGAAATTCACTCTCTTCTACAGGTAGCTTAGGCGTATATCAATACATCCTAAATTTTAAATTTCTGTAGATAATTGGATAGATTTTTTTAATATAGGCGTTAATTAGCATATGGACGATCTTAATAATTATAGCCTCTTTTTAATTAGCTGGTTTCTATCTCCAATTTATTCATCAATGACCAATAGATAGGGTTGAAAGCGCGAAGAAGAAGTCAACACTCTCTGAGTTTACTAATCGAAAAATTTAGTTTAAAATATTTATATTCTATTGTAACCATATAAATATGCAGAATATCTAAATAGAATGAGAAAGGTCACCTCTCCTGTTAAAACAACATCTTCAGTGAATGCTCTCAAATTCCCAAAGCTGGTGTTGCGGCTTCGTCAAGTTTATGGAGCCGGTCAGTAGATGGCGCTTAGTTTTAACGATTGTCTTAATGTCAGAGAGAGATGATTTATATATATAAATATATATCACACAAGATAATATAAAATAAAACCTTGGCAATACGATTCTTTATTGGTAATAAGGCAAGCTTTTGGACAATTTATATTCCTTCTACAGGCATATCTATAAAGTTGAGAAAATGAAGAGGATATACAAGTATACTTGTACAAATACTCAAAATCACATTTGAATATATATATTTTTATTGTTATTTTAAAAATACAACAAAATGAATTATTTTTCAGAAATACATAAGAATTTTATTACAAACTATTATTATAAAACTATAAGAGAGAGAAACACTATCATATACAGACTAAAAATGAAAGGATGACAATAAATCTAATATTTTTAGAGATAATCAATCCTATATAAAAAAGAAATGAGATAACTCCGACGGTAAACAAAATTCTTCATTGTTCTACATACTTCCTTCCTATTTCCATATGCAAATGAGCCTTTTTTCGAAGAAACAATACTGAAAATATATATATATGATAATTATGTATTTACATAATTTAGATAAAACAAAACTCTGTATATTCATTAGGGTATGCGACAATACATATGCAAACGTACATATTATGCAACTGCAATTAAAGCCTCTATATATATATATATATATATATATATATATATATATATATATATATATATATATATATATATATATATATATATATATATATATATAAATTTATTAAAAAAAACACTAAATAAATAAATGAACTGCCCAGCAATGGCCGCAGCCTTGCAGAAAAATGACATGGACTCAGAACAGCAGCTTTACACACCCAAGATAGTGCACATTGCGACTGCTGTGATAGAGATGTACAGAGACATCTCAGGTTCATCATTTGACACAACAACAAATAAATGTACAAAAGTAAAATAAAAACTAGTTATAAAATGAAAACGAAGTATCTATTTAAAATGAAACAGTACTATGGGTGTGAACTATAATCTGCGGAGAAGGTGAATGGAGTTTGAGGAAGGTAATGAGTTGTGTAGACAGATTGGTATTAAGAAAACAATTCAAAACGTCTGATAATGCAATTTAAGTCACAAGAGCCCCAGGACTATAATAGAAAAGCTGAGACATTGAAACTTAATGGAGATCGTTTAAATGACTTAAGGAATAAGCAACAACAACAAGTCACAAGAGACTAACTATTCCAACAGTATAATCAGTGATATTTTGTTTTGATGTTATGATAATG